TCATTTCTTCTTTTATTTTCACTGTGTGTTGTATTTTACTCTTGATGGAACTCTGTACACTAAAAAAATCTGCATAGATGTTTTTATTCAATTTCAACTTCAAAATGTACCTGAGTTCAATTTTTGTAATCAATTCATCTCGTGTAGAGTTTCTGAGTTGTAAATTTTTCTTTCCAGATTCCCTCGTAAGTAGAAATCTAGAGGTGTAAGGTCTGGTGAATTATGAATTATGTATCTTGTCTTATCCCGTATTAAACTAAGAGAAAGAGTACTGACCTACATATTTTCCACATTTCATATTTTTGTTATAGCTTCTTAATGAAGCATTTGTGAACTCCTTGCTGCATTGTATTTTAGTCTCATTTTTACCTGGCAAAGTTTGAATATTGTTTGAAAATACTGTATAATGATAGACTAAAGTTTAAGATGATCATACTTTTGGTAGTTTATTGTAACATGGTTCTAATATTTAGTAAATAATTTCTTTAGCTGTGTTCATAAAAAATGCAAGAATACATTAATGTTTGCAATCAGAGAGTTTTATTAATGGAAGTTTCACGGACAATCTGTATTTAAAGACTGGAAGCTTTCATGATTGTTTCAAGTTTTAAATGACATCTGACATTTGATTAGGAAAATTGAAAAGATTCCATTAACACTTTAAAAATAAATCAAAAAATGTTTCAAAAAGTAAATTAAAGAAAGATTGAATTCTTTAAAGATATTTTCTCTTTCATTTGGAGATTCTTTTTGGTAATTTGAAAAATTTCAGGATTTCAAATCTTTGAGTGATGCATGGAGTTTCAGAAGTCTCGGTGATATAGGGGAGTTGAAAACGTTCTAAATATTCTGAGGTATCCAGAATACCAGAGGATTTCAAGAGTATCAGATTTTAGATACTTCTAAAGAGAGTACATACTGTGTGTTTAGAGAAAATTCTAGAGGTTCAAGGGTCTCTAGAGTTTTCAGAAGTTTTAGAGGCTTTCAGAAGATTTTATAAATATATAAAATAAAATAATTGGAGATTCCAGAAGATTTCGAAAGATCAGAAAATATCAAACTCAAGAAACTCTATACTATCAATTTGTATCTCTAAATCTCTATTGCTCTGTGGAAATTAAAGAAACAGGATGCTTGAATCAGGAAATTTTGACATTCTGCATCTATAAAATTTACAGAAATAGAAAGTTGTATATTATTAGAATTGTAAAAACTTGAAAAACCTATTGAATACATTTAATGTTAAAAGAAAAGAGCTTTATTTTTATTGGATATATTTCATATCTTGTTTTTGCTTTACAAGAGCTTTACAAGACATGCTTGATAATAAAAAGTATAAACAATAGAATAATACAGATTATAGAAGAATACTGAGTAAACAAGCCTAGAATGGAACTATTACTTGGTACAAATAGTTTGATACAAATTGCATAATGTTATATTCCATAAGTTTTTGCAAAATAAAGACAAAATAAAGACCACAAAATTATTCGTAATTGTGTTCAGTTTTTTGTTATTGTGAGGTAAGTTTCCACATAACTTGTTGTTAGTTCAATTGCATTAACCGTTGCAATGATCACTTTGTTCAAAATGAGCAAGCGTACAGTGACTTATTACACGTGAGTGTAATTCTCGTTCCCTTTGTAAATCTCTGTTCCCCGAACAACGGTTGAACTACAATGATTTTATAGTTAACACAACGCATACTTATCATGTACGAAGCTTCATGTACCGTAGTTTAATTACACGGCGGAATGCACCGTACACAAACTTGCTCCCTGTCACAGTATATAAACTTCATTGAAGTTTCATGGGCTAGCCGCTCTCAGAATGAAAGGTATGCGAGCAGCGCATCCGGTATGACTTGCCACTTCTTTCGTTCCTCTCATCTGTCCAGTAATCTCGAACTATCCGAAGACTGGCTTGCCCCGTGATCCGAGGATGACGTCGATGTTCCGACGGGGCACGATCTTTGCTACGTTCTTCCTGTCGTTATTGGGTGGTGGACTAGTTTGTGCTGCTTTGGTGACGCAACACTGGGTCGAGGCACGACCGTTGAGAACCCCAAACCCCCAAGAAAGCGCTGGCAGAGTTCACTTCGGTCTTCTCCAAGGAAAGAAGGAGCTAAATGTCGCGTATGGCTGGAGGACCTATCATATCTGTGGTAAGTTCTTCTAATAATACTTCGGTACTCTGTTATGTAGTTATAGGCGGATTTTTATACATTTTTATGTTCTTTTAGGATATGAACGGAGAAATAGAAGTTGCATTTTTGTGTATAAATGATAAGATCTAAATTATGATTATTCATGACCTTAAATTCATAGGAACTATAATTAATTTTATAAACATGACTAAAGAAATGGATTTTTGTATATTTTTATATTTTTGGAAACGTGACTAAAAAAATGGAAAATTAAATTTGTACGAATAGGTGATGAATTTTTATTTTTATATTTTTGTGAACGTAACCAAATGGAACCTAAATAAATATTCGAAAAAATTTTTCATGTTTTATGCGTTATGTACAACTTCGATATTCAAATGCATAAAAATCCGCAGTCTACTTGGAAGTATTGAATGTTCAATTAATCCTTGTATAGACTTGTAGGCCATAAATTGCATGTTAGCCATGAATTGTAGGCCATAAATTTTTTTTAAATAGTAATACTAAATACAATGTATATATATATATATATAAAGGAATGTAGTATTGGTATTCCAAAATACATAGTTCTCTAATTTTTTTGGAATGACAACCATCATATTCCAACCATATTTCTTTAGTGTCTTAACAATAAGTTTTTTATGTACATTTGAATGTATTTTATATACTTTTTATATACATATGAAAAATCAATCTCATAATTATTAATAGAATATAATTACGATGAATTATGTGATGAAAATTACAATGGATACTTAATGAAAATTTATATGATGAAATTTTTTAGGAAAATAATAGGGATACAATTATAATGATAATTAATATTCTATTGAAAAACAATAGCATCTATATGTTATTATAAGAATATATATTATATTACATATTATATTGTATATTGTATATTACACTATTAATTCCTAAATCCATTGGTATCACTAGGAATTACTACAATTCTTCAATTATTCTGGAATTTTCAATATAATTTAATTGATTAATCTCCAACATAAATTCTACGTATATTCATCTATATACTAGCAAAACTATTTGATTCTATTTGTAATTAATTAAACATAGATAATACGTTGTTAAGCATTATATATATACATACACACATAGTAATAACCGCAACAAGTATCTAGGAAACACTCCAAGATGACGGTTCATTAAATTATCCGGCTTTACCCAATAATCAGCAAATGTGTTTCTAACCATCAGAATAATTTTCTGTTGGATGAAACATCATGGTTAATGAATGTGTGAACTGTTTATATTCTTCATTTAAGGATACCATCGTTTTCTCTTCCTACTACATATCATATCATATTATTTTTTTTTTTTTTTCAAATCACGTGATATTTGCTCCATCAAGCATGGCTGTTATGTTGCTTATACGACAACAAATGCATTACCGAGTGGTAATTAAACGCTTGAACTGCTTTCTGTGCATTTTCTGCAGCCTTTCGTACATTGTAATTTAAAATAATGCTTCTGGATACAAGAGCTGTTATATACTCCACAGTTTCTGTAATCATTAAACCATTTGCAGTTGCATCCCACTAATGGATAGTTATGTTTCGATAATTACCTTAATAGCCTTCAATCGTTCTAGAAAATGTTCAGTGTTTTTCATATTTGGAAGTCAGAGGTGAAGAACGCTATAAGTTGGCTGTAGATTTTTACGTGAATTTGTGTCTTTACAAATCTAAATAGAACATTTTATAATATTACAATATTTGGTATACTTTTACATATCATATGTATCTGTAACTTTAAATTTTCTATAAATGCATAAGAATTGATAGTGATAAGTCACATATTCTTACAGAAGAGTAAAATTTGAAAATTTAATGTGCTGTGAATTAAATCTATTACATTTAAACTATCTCTTCAAGATTAAATATGCTTTTGTTACTCTTTTGAATATTTCAAAAGTATTAATGATATTAGTTATGTGAATTAATATTGGATAAATTGAATTAATATTATTTGTTTTCCAAAGATTACATGAAAATCTATTACTTGTTGATTTCCAGACTTTTATAGAATTATTAAATTACAGAATAAGTATTGCTATATAATTATTGACATAAAAATGCTGAATAATTATAACAATAACAATAATAAATGTAGTTACAAATAATTATAACTACATTGTAACTATTATCTATTACTTATTATTTAAATATTCAAGTATAGTTCAGTAAAGGTATATGTTCAATATCGACCGAATAATAAATAATACTAAATTTTGATATCTTTCTTTAGCCATCAAAACAAAGAAGTAAAAAAGTTAACAAAAGCTGGACCATGATATTTCCTTCCATGGTCTTTGCTTATTTTTTGGTAAATGGAAAATCGAAAGATTTTTTAAGCATCTCTAGTATGCAGGCTGGTATCCAGTGCACGTGATTGCTAGCCACAAAGATTACTAGGAAGCGTCGGCGCTGTTTGCACAATTCAATTTACGATAAAGTTTATGAGTTGAAATACTGGCCACGTAGTTTTTCACCACGATCGTGTATTGGACACGGACACCGATCTGTTAAATTATTCAATCTGTTCGCTGTTGGCTAATCCGAGTTTCTGACGAGTTTCTCACCAACAACGCATTTTACATAACTTTCCTACGATGCGAGGGTGATGTTATCATCGAAGGAACAACCGAGTATGACAGCCTGTCTCTGCTATCTCCCTGCTACCTATAATGGATAATCAACCGTAATTTATCTATTGTATATATCTAGCTTTTTTCTTCACCTTATTCATTATGACTTCATTTCCCAATCGCTTCTTTCAAATTATTTCAGATAATTGCCCTGAGAAGAATTCTGTGCTCAACTCATATCCTGGATCCGCCATCTTTGTTTCCTGATTGTTGATGATAGTCTAGACTCTAACAATAAGAGCTTCTGTCCCAAGCTATAATGTTCAACTCACGTTTAAAAATCATCATCCTTATTTCTTGATCTTGATGATACAATATTTTCGTATATACACATTCATAAGTTATTGGACACTTGCTAATTTTAAATCTAATATTTATTGAAATTAATCTGTGACAATGAAAACACTGAGTATCCATTGACTTATTGAGAGAAACGTAGACAGTGTAATCAATTTCAATCTACAAATACTAATCGGTTAACGTCAGA